GATCTCTCTCATAATGATGGTCTGTATCTTGACAACATAAAGTTTCAAATGCTTGTGCATAACTTAATAGAGTTAAGGTTTCTTATCCTTGATTCTGTGAATATGTCTCTGGTTGTGCCTTCTTCCTTTCTAAACTTGACTTCTTCCTTGGAGCATTTGAGCCTTCACAACTGTAATTTGCAAGGAAACTTTCCCAGCCAAGTTTTTCAGCTAACGAAATTGGTTTCACTTGATCTCTCCCTTAATGATGGTTTGCTTCTTGATAACATAAAGTTTCAAATGCTTGTGCATAACTTAACAGAATTAAGGTTTCTTATCCTTGATTTTGTGAATATGGCTTTGGTTGTGCCTTCTTCCTTGCTAAACTTGACTTCTTCCTTGGAGCATTTGAGGTTTAGCAATTGTAATTTGCAAGGAAACTTTCCAAACCGAGTTTTTCAGCTTCCATCTCTCCAGGTTCTTGATTTAAGCTCCAACTCTCATTTAGGAGGTAATTTGCTCAAGTCAAACCAGAGTAGTACCCTCGAGTATTTGAATCTTGCAAACACAAACTTCTCAGGAGAGTTGCCTCATTCAATCGGAAATCTTAAATTCCTAAAGGAATTGAATCTTCATAGCTGCCAATTTTATGGATCAATTCCTAGATCTCTTGCAAATCTTACAGAGATAACTCAACTAGATTTTTCTTCCAACCATTTGCGAGGGCAAATACCAGATGTTTTTGGAAAAATGCACAAGCTAAGTAATTTGAGCTTAGATGCAAACAATTTTGGTGGTGAAATTCCTGCATCAATCTTCAATCTCACCCATCTTACTTTTTTGTCACTATCATCAAATAAGCTATTAGGTCGTGTACCATCTTGGTTGTTTTCTCTGCCTTCTTTATACCATTTAGACCTTTCAAACAATTGCCTTACCAGACCTATTGATCATGTTGAGATGCCCAATCTCATTTTACAAGAAGTCTATTTGTCCAATAATGAGATAAGTGGTTCAATTCCTAGCTTCTTCTTTGATCTTGTGTATCTTACTAGTGTAGACCTTTCTTCAAATAACTTAACTGGCATCATTACACCCGACATGCTTTCGAAGCTTGTAATCCTTGAGGATCTTGATCTTTCCAATAATAGTTTGCTGTCTTTGAGCAATAATGGTACTGCTGTCAATTATTCCTTTCTTCCGAGCCTCCGGTCTTTAAAATTCTCTTCTTGCAACATACACAAGTTCCCAAGTTTCTTAAGGAAGGTAGAGAGTTTGCAAATATTAGATATTTCCAAGAACAACATTTCTGGTCAAATTCACAAATGGGAAATAGAAGGGATGTCGTCATTGCACTATTTAAACCTTTCTTATAACTTCTTGACTGGTATAGATTTATTTGGTTTTGGAAATCTTGAAACTGTTGACCTCAGATCTAACATACTACAAGGATCACTTCCCATCCTCTCAACAACTTGGGATTCTATGCAACAACTCTTCATGTCAGGGAATAATTTGACTAGTGTAATCCCTTCTTCTTATTGCAATTTGACTTCTCTTGAAGTTCTAGATTTAGCTAATAATTGTTTGGGAGGAAAAATTCCAGAATGTCTTGAAAACTTAAGTGATCTCTCTGTCTTGGATTTGCGGATGAATAAGTTTCATGGTATAATACCAAATTTTTTTGTCAATGGGAGTAGACTGAGAACTCTTAACCTAAATGGCAACCAGTTGGAAGGGAGACTGCCATTATCTTTGGGAAATTGCAGTGACTTGGAAGTTCTAGATGTTGGGTACAACTCCTTGAATGATACCTTTCCATATTGGTTAGGTGTTCTTCCGTGGCTAAAAGTTCTAATCCTTCGATCTAATCGATTTCATGGTGCCATCAGCAACTCTATGCCTGCATTTTACTTCCCTCAGTTGAGAATAATTGATGTCGCACAAAATGATTTTATGGGTCTCCTACCAAGTAATTATTTCAAAATTTTGAAAGGTATGAGAGATGTAGCTCCAGCTGATAAAGCCAAATTGGAATACATTGGTGATAATATGCAAGCTGTTGAACTCAAAGCAAAATCCATTTCTTATGGGTCGCTAAGATCTGATACCTCTCCTCTAAGTCGTCGTGGTGCCTCATTTTCTCCTCTTACTTATAAGTTTTCTGTGAAGGTAGTAATAAAAGGGTCAGAGAGGGAGCTTGTAAGGATCTTGAGAATTTTCACAACTATAGATTTCTCGAGCAATCAATTTCATGGACCGATTCCTGACGAGCTGGGAGAACTCAATGCACTTTTATTGCTAAACTTATCTCACAATAGTCTCAATGGTCAAATCCCGTCATCATTGGGGAAATTAGCAGAACTGGAGTCGTTAGATCTCTCATCAAACAAGCTTGAAGGCAGGATTCCAGAGCAATTGACAAAGCTAACGTTCCTATCAGTTTTGAATCTTTCACACAATGAACTTGTGGGCCACATACCTGAAGGGAAGCAGTTCAGTACTTTCTCAAATGATTCCTATGTTGGGAACTCTGGGTTGTGTGGATTCCCGTTGACAAAGAAATGCGAACCACCAAGACCACCTTCACCACAAGTTGATGAAGAAGATGACTCTCCAGCAGTCTTTGAGTGGAAGTTTGCATTGGCAAGCTATGGGTGTGGACTGGTGTTGGGACTTAGTCTGGGATACATTGCCTTCACTATAGGAAAACCATGGTGGTTAGTGAAGAAAGTGGAGAAATATCAACAGAAATTAGTTGGAAGTTGCAACCGA